AGCTAAAATTTCAGAATTATCTTTATAAACATCTATATGTTGTGCTATACAAAAATCAGAGCTGGTCAAGCAGAAATAGCTCCAACAAACTGATGATTTGAGATTCAAATGTATACACAGTATGTCACAAAAGTGGATACTCACTCCAGGGGTGTACTCACTTTGTTGTGAGTGGTTTAGACATTAATGGCTGTGTATTGAGTTTTTTGAGGGGTAAAGGTAAATATACACTGTCACACAAGCTGTACACTGACTACTCTACATTGCAGCAAAGTGTCATTTCTTCAATGTTGTCCCATGAAAAGATAAGAATAAAATATTTGCAGAAATGTGACATACTGTATGTGCCTGTTTTCTCAGTCATATCAACACATAATCGGGTCTTGTAGTGTAAATAGTTGTTTGTGTGTTTGTGGCCTGCAGGACACGCTGCTGGAGCTGCTGTGCGATGCGGTGGCGTCGTCGCTACGACAGGGGAAAGGTCTGGTGATCAGCAGCTTCCCGAGAGACCTGAGACAGGCGGAGGAGTACGAGGCCAAGGTCAGAGAGGTGCTCGGTCAGGAACATGAATAAAAGAAGGAAAACTTGTGTGAGGTTGTTGGTTAAATGTGACTCAGTGTTAAGGCAGGAGTACGAAAACACGTGGATAAGAAAACAGGGAGCAACAGAAGTGGGATAAACAGTAAAACAGGGCTTTCCCAGTGCTGAAGGATAACACACAGACGCACTGCCGAGTGTCACACAGAGTAAAGTTAAAGCGGAGCCTGAGGTTTGGTGCTTTAACTGCTGTTTTTCCTGCACCAGATGGGTGAACCCGGCGCTGTGTTCCTGCTGAGCTGCTCACCAGACACCATGTCCAGCCGCCTGCAGTGTCGCAGCAGATCCACCTCCGGCCTCCACGACACAGAGAGCGTCCTGCACCGGAGGGCCGAGAGCTTCTGCAGCGACAGCCAGGCGGTGGCGGCTCACTACGAACGCAAGAAGCTCCTGCACAAGGTAAAAGAAAAAAAAAAAAAAGAAAGCAATTCACTGCCGGGATTCAGTTCAATTCCCCAGTGAGGCTTAACTTCTCTCAGAGGAGCAATTCATCCCTCAAATGACCATTTAAATCCACTTAGAGGTCCTTCAGGCACATTGCACTCTTCTTTAATTGTGGTAACGGGGCAACTGCCTGCCAGAATATTTTTCCTCCGCAAAAAAGTCACCTCATTATCTCCTAGTTTTCGGTTTAAAGTGGCAGATCTTTGCCACTTCAGTGCACATGCATGAGCAGATTGATTAGTATAATATAGGACATAATGATGGACTGTAGGATGCTTCATTCACTTTTAATAAAACTGTATGAAGATCATGCAAACAAATGTACCAGAGGCAACATATGCAATGTCCTCTATCAGGAACGGTGACATTATGACTTTAGGTATTTGATTTTGACATTAAACTCCACAACTTAAGCTTTAATTTCACATTATTTACATGCAAACAGCATATTACTGTGTGTTATTTTTAACATTAGAGCTATTAGTTGTTACAATTAAACTGATTGCCAACTATTTTGAGTTTTGCTTACAATTTTTAAGAATAAAAAAGTCTAAATTCTCCGATTCTAGCTTCTTAAACTTTTATATTTTCTAGTTTATTTTCTCCTACATAGCAGTAAAATGAATATCTTTGGATTGTGGACAAAACAAGACAAGACAGGATGTCGTCTTGAGCTTTTGGAAACACTTGTGCACATTTTTTTTTACCAGTTTCTGACATTTCACTGCTGCTTGTTTGACTGACGGCAACAATTACACAAAAAACAGCAGGCTGACTTTCATGAAGCTTAGTGTGGAGGTGGAGCTCGGCCAAGACGAGAACCCATTAAACTTTGGTGCACATCCAGACCACTTTCTTTAAAGCAATGGCATCGTTGAAGGGCAGCGCTCCCAGTTCCCCTCTAGTTATCCATTAACTAATGCATGTTTTGTTTTCCTAAGATCCTTTGTTAGCTTATTATAAGGCATACAGTGTTGATTTGCAAATATTTTCACACTAGCAGTGTATTTTTTAACCCTCTAAACCCCAAAAGACATGTCTTTTAAAAATGCAAACCATTTATCAGAGCTACAAACAAAAACAAATTTTAAATTTGAACATTTTCTAGTTTCTGTGGCAGTAAACGGAATATTTTTGGGTTTTAAACAAAAAAGACAGTAGAGGACATGTTGACCAATTGGTGGCACTATGACTGTGAATGGATTTGGGCATATGGATGTGATCAGGACAGCAGTCTGATCAAATATGTAACGTTTGAGGCAGATTGGAGCATCTACAGGGTAGTTACACAGTACTTCCTGTTTCATGGCGAAGGATCAAACATCAGAGGGCCGCCGTGGCCACGCCCTTTGACTTTTACAGATGATTTTGATAACATTTTACCTTCAAGGCGTTTTCTACATGCTACTTCAATTTCAGCGCTCTGCTACTTACCCCCTAGGAGGAGTTAGCTCAGGTTGGACAAACAAACAATCCAAAATGGCGGACTTCCTGTTGGGTTTAGGGTGCGGCTGTCACTGGTTCTTTTGTTTGTCCTGACCTCCTCCATAAACCTACCAAATTGCGTAGGTCTAGGTCAAGCGCGCTTCCAATGGGAATTTTCAAGGTGGTGCTGTGGAGCCGTTTTGGCACTGACATGTCCACGTCCATGATAGTTTCTGATTTTTGCCAGTCCTGATGTGCGCGGTGACTTTGGTGAGTTTTTGAGCACATTTAGGCCCTCTAACGTGCTCAGAGATTCCGTACTATCATAATAATAATCACACTTGTGTGCACTTCACCGTTGATTCCAGGATGTTTTAGTTTTTGTAAAGCAGATCATGAAAGAACCATCCATCCATTATCTATACACCGCTTAATCCTCACTAGGGTCATGGGGGGCTGGAGTCTATCCCAGCTGACTTAGGGTGAAGGCAGGGGACNAGTCTATCACAGGGCTACACTTAGAGACAGACAACCAAGCACACTCACATTCACACCTACGGACAATTTAGAATCACCAATTAACCTCAACGTGTTTCTGGACCTTGTGGGAGGAAGCGAGGCAGCGGTCCTAACCACCAAGCCACCTTGCAGCCCGCACAGAAGACATTTCTTTTTTAGAACCTCAGATAATTTCCAATGACGTTTCCAATGTGGGCAGGCAGGTTTTACCCCTTCAACAAGCTACGTGAAGGGGTAACGGTCTATGTTAGTTCAGCTTTTACGTTTTTACTTCCCGTGACTCATCTCGTCCTGGGGAAAAAAAAAAAAAACGTTGACTGATGAAGCATTAACACTCCACTTGCTCTGCTTTTTCTGTTCATCTCCCTGAAGGGCGAATATTTAATTACATGTGATTGTACAGAACTGAACTGAAGACACCTAAAATATTCTTGGGAATATTTAAAGCAGCTTTGTATGTGTTTTTGTTCATTTTCTAGTCATGGTTGTTCCATTTCCAGAAAGATGCTGGACTTTATATCGCAGTAAAAAAAAAAAAAAAGCCCACTGTGACCAAAATTGTGACATTAGCAAAAACCAGAAACTTCTTGGAGTTCAGAGGGTTAATGTACAGATTCATGTTTTCCAGTGAGGTGCAAACAGAGGCAGATGTTTCCAGCTGTAACAACTCCTCCTGTTGATAACGACCATTAAAAGTTCCTGTTGTGCTCACAGGGATGACGAGGTGATGGAAACATACATCCACAGTCCTGCAAGGAAAACAAAACTGTAGCTGCAGGCAAATTTAAAGCTTCAGCGGCTTAATCACAGAGACACACGTATCTTTGTTTGATAATTATTCCACCAATAACTCAACACAGGAAGAGCTTCTGTCCAGAGATGTAAAAAAACAACAAGTGTTACGGCCTGGAGGCAGATCAGGGGAAACAGAGACAGTAACTAAATTAAAAACAAGAAAAAAGCTCACATTTATTCAGCTGTTTAAAATATTTACAGCTGCACTCTTGGTGTGTTGGGGGACAGAACAAAGCGGACCTGGTGAAATTAAAGATTAATGTCTACTTTCTGAAAATAAAACCCAAACAAAGGCTTCAGCTCATAACTACAAAGTGGCTTTAGGTGAATCATCACAGTGGAACCAATGTGTGGAAGTGGACCGGGCACCTGTGGGCCGCAGGCACTTCCTGCATTCTGGTGACTTTTTATGCACCTATTTGTGTCTTTTCTGCAACAGTTTATGCTGGAAACGCTTTTATTTACAGGACAACAATTCAAAATAAAACAGGACAAAAGGCAGTGTGGCTCTTATGTGCTTCATTTAAATGTTCAATCTCCTGGAGATCAGTTTTTCTCATTCAATAGATAGCAGTTTTTCAAAATAAAAGTCCTTTGCTTCTGCTTCTTGCACAGCTTATTCAATTCAGTTCTATTCAAATAACATTATTTATCCCCTAGAGGCAATTCCAAAGCTCATGAAGTATTTAATATGAAGACATATGAAATAAATAAATAAACCACATCATAAATATCTCATTATATTACATGGGACCAATCTTCGAGAGTCAGGGGACATGAATTCCAATCTGTCAAGAGTTCATTTAAAAAAACAGATAACTCCATATTTGCAGATTTTCAAAAACCTTTTTTTTTGTTTGTTTGCTTGAGATAATATCAAACTGAAGTTGAGTGGATTTGACTCAGTAGAAATGACAACAATAGAGATAACTTCAGTTTGACTGATGTTGTCTCAGGTAGACGATGGAAACGTGGGTTTTCTGAAGGTTTGTGAAGATGGAGGTATCTGTTTTTGTAAATGAACTCTTCAAACACTGAGTATCTCAGCCTCCAAAATCCACACCTGTGTGGGTACTCTAACTTCACCTTAACTCCTCAGCCTCCCGTCAAACGTCTTTACACTTTCTTCTCTTTAAACGAATGTCTGAGAACACCACCACCAGCAGCAGCATTAACCAACGAGATGTCAGACAAACCCACAACAGTGAGAGCAAATCAGATAAAAATGAACTTTTTCTGAACACTTTTCTTGAAGGAGAATTCACGAGGACACATTAAAAGGCGGCCGTGGTGTTGAAGGAAGCCGTCTGCTCTTACGCCAGGCGGATATTCTTGACATGAGTCTGCCCTGGATGCTGCATCACAACTAACTGTGTGACACTATTATCTCCTTTCCCTTTCTGAATGATGCTCCAGTGCATCTAATGCTGAATAAGATAAGAAAGAAAAGCAGTGCAGCACCTTTATTTAGCTTTTAGAGAATTTAAGGCTTTTATCGTGGCAGCCGCTGAGACATTTCTAGGTCATTTCACTCAGTTTGTAAATTCTTTAGTAAAAAAAAAAGACTATTTGAGTGCAACTCTGGTTTCACAGAAATCAGTTCAGTTGTATTTAAATTCACAACAGAACTCATCACGGTCAGGTCAAGACATCACAATATTA